TCTCTCTGTTTCTTGAGTTCAAGGCGTCGTACATGTAATAATATAAAAAAAAAATTCAATCTTTCAGCTCTAAACCTCAGATCCAAGAAAACCCCATTTTAAATTCATCTCCCATTTATGTAAACTCTAAACCAAAATCAATTAAAACAGTTCAAATATAAAAAAAAAAAACGAACAAAATTAATTACCTTGCACAGTAACTTCTAGCTAAAGAACGCAGTAAAAAAAAAAAAAAAAAAAAAAAAAAAAAAAAAAAAAAAGAATCATTCTTTTAGCTCGAAACCTCAAATCCAAAAAAAACCCATTTCAAATTCATCTCCCATTTATGTAAACTCTAAACCAAAATCAATTTAAACAGTTCAAATTAAATTAAAAAAAATAAAAAAAAATAAAATAAATAATTACCGTAGCCATCTTCAACTAAAAAGTTAAAAATGTGTTGATCGCAATTATAAGTGAACTTGTTGTTCGTGGACGGCAACTTCTGCAAGCATTGAGCAGCAATCGCCGGAAAGTTTCCGGTGAACTCCGTGTACTCCGCCAGCACCGTCGTCCCACGCGCCACGAAGCTGTATATGAACGATTCTTGACCCATTCCTATTTCTGTACTCGCAGATTACGCCGGAGTAGAACAAGAGCTGCTTTCTTTGATTGTTAGGTTGTCTCTGTTTCCTTCTTTTCCGGTGGGTTGCTTTTGATTTACTTTTTGAGGATGTAATGAAGAGGTTTTTTGCAGGTGCTGTTCTTTGATTCTTCAAAATATTTTTTTTTTATTTCATTTTATATGTATTTCTTAGTGTAGCTTTGGTCAAACTTTCCCTTTGACAAATTATCTTATATATATATATATATATATATATATATATATATATATATATATATATATATATATATATATATATATATATATGTTACAATTATTATATATTTATGTTTTAATATTTATTTTTGAATATGTCATAATTTGTATATTCGAGAAAAAGAAGTTTCTTTGGATAAATGGTGGAAATTGGAACGAAATTTTCAATTTCTGTCGTTTCTGATCGAATTTTTTTCAATTTTGGAACAATATTTTTTTAATCGAATCCCGACTTCCAAGTTCTCTGAAATTACTTGGATCGGAATTGGAATATACATGAGATTCTAATTTCCCGATCCGATTTAAGTTTCCAAAATTTCGAAATTTTTTTTCCCGAATATTACACTTATATACCAATATTTCATATTTAAGGTGACCAAAAGCTGGAAATTTTCAAATTCTGATCCGAAGTTCTCCAATTTTAGAACAAGTTTCTCGTTCAAATTTCCGATATTTTTCGATTTTTTTGGAACGGAGCTGGAACGTTGTTCACTTACAAAAAAATAGAATTTTTCCGAAACGGCTAATTCCGATCCGACCCATCCGATTTACGTCCCTATTTGATCTACGTAAGATTGCACCCATCAATTTTGTTGAATTATTAATATATTCCTATTAGTTAATAAAGAATTGGCCAACATAAATTCTAATATTGCAATATTATTAACATCATTTTTTAATGAAACCGAGTTAATGTGTTTGAAAAGTATTTTAAAAAAGAAAAATTGCAACTTCTGATTTAGTCAAAGTCTAAAATAATTTCTAGATGCAACCAAGACATATTTCACTTGTCCAATTCATTTGCTTTGAAACTAAGGTTTATGAATTATGATACCTTAATTAAGATTGAGAAATTGGGCAAAAGTATCAAGAAAACACGGTACGGCGTCGTGTGACTAGAATATGTCAAATGGAATTTTTGTTTAGTTCTCACTACCAATATATTTTGTTGACTATACACATATTATGTGGTTTGTCTTAAATAAATGAAATAATCATGGTAATAAATATGCCTCTGTTTGATTATTTTAACGCGACATGCGACGAACTGATCTCGTGATCGCTGCTGGAGGGCGAGATCTGGAGATAACGTCCATAAATAGTCGGAACCATCCCCGCTCCAATTCGGAAGGGGTTACGACTTTTCTCTTTCCACGATTATTACTTGTTTTGTGAGAATAACGAAAGACAAAAAGTATTATAACGAAATTGAATTTGTGTGGGTGACAAAAAAAAAATCGATAATTGAAAACGAGAAAGAAAATCGAAAATTCCTTACAAAATACTCCCTCCGTTCCTTTATAATTGTCGTTTTTAGCTTGTGCACAAGGATTAAGAATCTCAATAAATGTTGCTTAATTTTAGAAAAATATATGTTCTTATACTAAAATGCCCTTGCCAATAATTAATGTGAGAGAGTGTTTGAGATAGTTAATAAGGGTAAAATTGATAATTACACAATTAATGCAGTATTGGAACGGTAAAGTGACAGATAATATGGAACAAAAATAATTTTAAAAAGAGACAGTTATTGTGGAACAGATGGAGTAGTAGCCAGTAGGTCGTGAAGTAATTCAACCGGGAGGCAAAATTTATTTATTAGGAAAAAATAAGTAAAGAAAATAAATAAATAAATAAATAAAATTCCAACCAAATTTCGCCCGCCCTAATCTACAACTTGAAATTCAATTTTCAAAGTGTAGTATCAAATATCAATAGTGTTTGATAATATTACCCCAAATTTATTTTTTTGTCGTCACACTAAAAAAATTACTCTCAGAGGGAAAGAAACTCAGATCCAAATCCGTTCGTAAATTCTCCGACCGACCAACATCACCGCTCCGATGGAAAATTCCGATTCGAAGATTGCGGTGAGCTTCTTCGTTGTTAACCTAGTCCTCCGTTTTTTGTTTGATTTCAAATCCTGCTTCAGTTCGAAGGATTTATCAGTATCGGAAATGGTGAAATTTTGCAGGAACTGACTGAATCGCGGCAGGAGCTTCTCGGCAGAATCCAGAATCTGAAACAGGTTCATCTCTTACGCTGCTAATTTTTGTTTTTGTTAGTGGATTTAATTATTTTTCTACGAATAAATTGAAAATGTTTGTGGTTTTGCTGAAGTAGTAATTTGGGGACTAACTGTTGGTAAATGGCAAAAAAGTAAAAATATGATTTGTGTGGGAAATTCTCAAATTGATTTCACATATTCGATTTAGCTGATTCTCAAACGTCTCCGGTTTTGTTCCGATTTCTTGATATAGGATCTGCAGAACTGGAGAACGAAGCTCGACGGTCAAGTGAAGGTCTACCGTGATGTAAGTATTACCGTCATGCCCTTGTGGAGATAGTTGAGATAGACGACAATTTTCGATGCTGTCTGTTTCGTTAATTTACTTCGTATGTTTAGTATGTAGTTATATTCTTCTGTGTGTGGCAGCTCGTCGTTACTATGTTGATTTGATTCTAGTCCATTGAAATATAACGTGGTTCGTAAACAGAGTTGCTAGCACCATTATGCTAAATTTACGAGTGTGCCATCGGATTTTCTGTCCTTGTGTCTATTCGAACTAACAAATAATATACGAAGTACGTTTTTGTTTTGTCAACTAAACGAGCTTGCTTACCACCAGTTAGAGTAACTTAAAGAAGATAACGCATCAGTTAAAATCCAGTACTCAATTCAAATAAGAGATATATGGCTTCTAATCTAGCAAACGAACAAATATTTCTGTGATAACCAATATAATTTGATGGAGTTGTTCGAGTAGTCAGAACTTCGATGATTAAGGTTATTGGATACAATATAGAATTTTCCGACTGGCATCAACCATTTGCCGTAAACTCGTCTTTGTTTCTAAAGAATCTTGTAATTCTTACTTGTCATTCAGTTTATGTTTTCTTTATTCAATGCAGGAGCTCTCACAGCTTAAACAATCACTTACTACTGAAGTTGAGCAACTCCGAACAGTAAGTGATCTGCCTATATGTTTACATTTCTCGTTTAAGTGTGGTTATTTGCATTTATCGGGTGCTTATTTGGTCGACTAATGAAGGAATTTCAAGACCTGAGGACCACTCTCCAACAGCAGCAAGAAGATGTTACGGTCAGCCTAAAAAACTTAGGGGTCGGTTTCTTAAGCAACTATGTCATAACCGAAATCTTTGTTGAGCTTTTTTCGTATTTGCTAAATTACTCAATGTTTCGTTCTTTTGAAACTGTTTTCATAGCTGCAGGATGATTCAGGGGAAACGAAAGAGGCCGGAAGTCCAAGAAATGCGGTGATAGCTCAAGATTTGCCATAAGAGAACAATGGTATTACATTATTATGTGTGACTATCATCCCATTTAGTGTTATTACATTTATTATTACTATATGTCTGAAAGGGTTGCCGATTTGTCCGAGATTTCGATGAAACTCTCATCCAAAATTTTCGACATTTGCCCAGGATCACTAATAGTGATACTGAGTAGTTATGTTCTTTATTTTCTTTTTAATGCATTTCATCCAATGCTTATGGCAATTTTTTTTTCTTCCACCATTTTCTTTTTCTTTTTCTGATGGTAAATGATTTAAACTTTAAAGTATTTTTTGGGCCTTTTCTGCTTGGCAATATCCTTGTTTCTGGTAATTCAAAATTCAAATTGACATAGTGAACTGTAAAGAACTGTAAAGAAAGCAAGTTATTTATGAGCTCTAGACTCCCTTCACACATTACGAAGGCAATAGTAAATCTTGAAAGTGACAATGATAAGATATCTATATCTATATCTATATATATATATATGTGTGTGTGTGTGCAGTCTCTCTCATGATTTTAAGGAGGCTGAGTTGAGTGGGGAAGAGCTATGTGTTGTCTTGTCTCTGCCAAAAGTTGTAGTAATTAATATATATATATATATATATATTGAGAGTAAATTATTTGGGAATGTGTTTATGATAGTGAGGTAAATAGTAGTACAATTTTGTGTGTATCAAGGAATTGGGTAATAATTAAGCTCGTCTTTAGTAAAAATCGGACGATTGGATCGATGAAAACCCTACAGCCCAAATTCGGGTCCGGGTAAAGATGCAGCCCAGATATAGATCCGAGTTCAACTTCCAAGAATTCTTTTTCAAAATATATTTTTAATGGCAGGATGTAAAGAAATAATAAATCTCAGAAATTTTAAAAAGGCAGGATGTAAAGAAATAATATCATAATTCATACATAAACTGTTAAAAAAAATTAAATTAATTAATTGATTATTATACACTAATTATTCAATTTATCAATTCATCACCTGATGCATTAACATTCGGAAATTTATTTAGTGCAGTTTTTGATTTAGATACCCCATAATAGAAGTTACTGTGATTGTAGATTACTTTAAATAAATTAATTAATTATAAAAAAAAAAAGAATTTTAGGATGTATGAGGGGAGGGGCATTAATGTCATTTTCCAAAATTAGAGTACAACTGACAACCAATTAGTGGGAGCTTTACTTCATCTTCATCTTCATCTTTGTGAGCACCGGGTAAAAGAAAAGCTAAACACTCTCTCTCTCTACTCTCTCTTTCTCTCTCATGGCTTCAACACAAGCAGAAGAACCTTCTCAAACCCCCCTTCAATACCAGGTACATTCAAATCGTTAGATACATATACATATACATATATATGTTTATGTGTGTGTGTGCGCTTGAAATTAACATATGACATGGTTTCATTTTTTTTTTTTTTTTCAGACATGGGTTCTCAAAGTTTCCATACACTGCCAAGGCTGCAAAAGGAAAGTCAAGAAAGTACTACAAACTATTGAAGGTGTGTATATATATAATATATATGTATATATATATTTAGCTTTTTTTTTTTATTAATGAATTCAGTTTGTTTTTAATTGTGTAGGTGTTTACACGATAAATATTGAATCCCAGCAGCAGAAAGTGACTGTCACCGGCAACGTTGATGCACAAACCCTGATCAAGAAGCTCGTCAAAACCGGCAAGCATGCAGACTTATGGCCGCCGGAGAAGCCCCCCGCCGCCGGAAAGGACAAGAAGCCCGGAAAACAGAACACCGGCGATAAAGAAAACGATCCCACCAAGAGCAGCGGCGACGACAACACCGAGGAGGAGGAAGACGAGGAGAATATTCCGGCGGCGGCCGAGAGCAACAATATTCTTCAAGTGAAAGTTGATGGTGGTGTTGGCCAAACTGTCAGGTTCGCCGGAGTCGAACCTGCTGCGCCGGAGAACAAACCGCCGGCAAATGAGAAATCTCCGGCCGCCGTGGAGCAGAAAGGCAGCCCCAACGGTGGCGGTGCTGCTGGAGGAGGGCATGGTGGTAAAAAGAAGAAAAAGAAAAAGAAGAATAGTGCGGGCGCAGGGACTAACGGTGCACCGGCAAGCACAGGATTGGAGGCTCCGAAGGTGGTGGGTTTCAGTCAAACCCCTGGCGTTGACCAGATGAATCTCAGCCCTACGCAGAATGTGTACCATTACCCACCAAGTTACGCGCCGCCTCATCATCATCATCAACAAGCATACGTGGTGAGCTACAATGCGGTGCACCCCACCGTAACAGGTGCGCCTGGCTATTACATGCCTCCATCGCCTTACACGTATGCACACCAAGATAATGATAATTATCAGGCCCAATCTGCACCGTTGGATTCGTTCGAGATTTTGAGTGATGAAAACCCTAATGGTTGCCACGTCATGTAGAGTTAGTGGGGGTAGAAGAAAAATGTGGGGCATTATGGTAATTTTGTACATATGGGGGATTTTTTTTTGTGTTTGTGCTACTTGGAATGTTTTCCATGTTTTTTGAATTAACTTCTAAAAAGTTGCATTAATGGTTTTTAAGCTTAAGATGCTAATTAATGTTATAAGGTGGCACACTAATTGAGTAATTTCATTGCTAATTAGAAGAAAAAGAGTTCACGATTTAAAAATAAAAAATAAAAGAAGGGGAAACTAAGAGAAAAAAACATCGAAGGAAATTACCGAATGTTCGAGTTCGTCCCACTAAATTTTGAGTATTGACGGAATTTTTTCAAGGTAAATTACAGTCGTCTCCTAAAGTAATTTCTATTTAGGGTTAACTGCAAAAAATCCCCTAAACTTTGGACGTTTTTGCGCTTTACCCCCTGAACGGAAAAAAGTTGCACGAGCATACCTGAACTTGTTAAATTGTTGCACCGGCGATTGAAAAATCCATTTATAGCAAAATTTATGCCTGAATTGCACACGTGCAACTCACACATGAAAATGAAAGGGCAATTTCGTAGTTTCACAAAATTTTCAGATAAAAGTATAAGAATAAAGATAAAAGAATAAAGGAATAAGGAAAAAGAAAAAAGGAAAAAGAATCTCCCAAAAGGCCACCCTCACCCATCTTAAAAAATCTCCCTCCTGCTGCAAAACAGGGTATGGAAGATTTTCACACCACCAACACTTCTCTCTCCACCGCCGCACCACCACCTGAAATTATGATATCAAATTACTGCTCCGTCTTCTTCCTCTCTCCGGCGCCGCATCACCACCACCACATCTGCTCCGCCGCCGCACCACCACCAAATCTGCCACCAACATCGCCACCTATTCTAACGCCTAAGCCTCCACCGACTCCACCTTCAATTCCTCCACTGTCATCTCCAACTCCACCACCAATTCCTCCACCAACACCTCGTCCAAATTTCCAATTTCTCCGCCTATACCCAACAACCCCTCGCGACGCCGCCGCGGCCAATTTCTTTTCTAACACAACCACCACCACCAAATTTGCCGCCGGGCAGATTTAAGAGTACAAATCCCCTCACATCAAATTAGTGAATTTGGAAAGAATCACCGCCGGATTATGTGAGGCTAGGCATCACCGCCAATCGACGGCGATAAGGATGAGAGGTTTATGTCCTCTACTTCCGGTGGGCCGTGAAGCACAGGCGCCGGAGGGCTGCGAAGCAGAGTTAGCAAGAGGGTCACGAAGCAGGCAACCGGCGAATTACAGGCGGCGGGCGGCGGACGGTGGTGGGCTGAGGAAGGATTTTTTCATATTTCTTTGTCTTTTTCTTCTTCTGTTGGTATAATATGATACAGGAGGGGATTTTTTAATATTTTTTTTCTTTTTCTTTTTTTTTTCTTTTTTTAAATTTATTATATTTATTAAAAAAAGAAGAAAATAGGTGTATGAGGAAAAGACCAATTTATCCCGGATCAAATCATGTGCTTCTCACGTGTTGTAGATTCCGGTCTCTTTTTGCTAAAAATGGACAATTTCTACTCCGGTGCTACAAATTAGTAAGTTCAGGTATGCCCGTGCAACTTTTTTCCGTTCAGGGGGTAAAACGCAAAAACGTCCAAAGTCTAGGGGATTTTTTGCAGTTAACCCTTCTATTTACGACATCATTTTCTAGATTTTTTACATAAACACCCTGGATGTAAGAGATTTACACACTATAGGGGCTAGATGTAATTTCTCAGAAAAAATGTTTTTTTTTTTTTATTTACACCTTACCTTAGGGAGGTGGTTGTAATTTACCATTTTCATAGTTAATTGACATATAAAATTCAAACAAAAGATGTTGCTCACATTCTACGATACTCGCAATCAAATTTGCCCTTTTTTTGAAATTTAACGTACAGGTTTTAATGAATTTGTTATTATGAATTTAAAATCATCAGCTTCGACTTCACGGATCGAAACAAAGGCGAGAACATTAGGTCGGATTTGGTTTTACGGAATATGTCCTTAAATAGTTGAATATATTTTATTTTTTTATTTAGTGATTAAATAGTTTGAATAATTGAAGAAGGAATATAGATAGTCTTGTTATGAATAATATAAGCTCCATTGAAAGTGAAAGCAAAACTTGGAACAATTCAGCCTCACCAATCAATGCAGAATATTAACTCCCAATATTTGTCTCTCAAAATAAATATATAATTAACATATTATATTCCAAAAATCTTAAAAAAAAAACAATTTATTTATAAAAAAAAAAAAAAAAAAAAAAAAAAAAAAAAACCTTAATCAACAATATTAGCATGACAACTGGTTGGCAAATGCACAAGTTCATGTTTTGACTTTCCTTAATCATTGTCTTCTTCTTCTACATTCATATAGTTGACTTTTATAGGCTTCCCTTTAACACATTTGACTTTCCAATTATGAAGTTTCATAAGAATCTTACCATATTATATATACATATACATACATATATGATATATGTAGTGTCAAATATGAATGTATGAAAGTGAGTCATGGAAGCTCGAAACGGGGTCGTGTTGTCACATAAACAACTTCTGTATATAGAGATTTATTATTTTTCGAGCAGTGCCAATATTAACGCAAAAATAAAATTCTAATTCTGCCACATAAGGATCAAACTAAGTATTGATTAAGCAAAATTCCGGACACCTATATATATATATATTCCGATTTTGCCCTTTTAATCCCCCAAATCTTGAAAGGTCGAGAAGCTATAAAGAAGAGGCACAAATGAAAAGGAATCAAGTACAAATACGAAAAGAATATATACATAATGAGATATGCTAAACCATTTCTTCTTTTCAACAAAGACAGATTCTCGGGTATTACTATCGAATATAAACTCCGTTCAGCCCGATTTTTATCTTACGAAAACGAAAATATTCGACGAAATTCAATCAAACTTCACCAATCAAGATTCTTGATTGTTTTATCATATTTCATCCCTTACAAAACACAAGGGGGCAAAAAAGGCAAATGCCTATTGTAATATGCAGAAAAATATACATATTTATTACACAATAAAAAAAATCTAATTACAGATGATAAAATATTAATTATGGAGGGAATTTTTAAATCTAAACAAACTGCTGCAAAATATATATATGAAAGGCATTCAAATACATGTCGATGCCTTTGAGGTGCGTTTGTTCGTGCCGAGCACAATTACGATAACGGTGACATCATCGTGGTATTTTCGTCTTCTGCCAGCTGGAATACTCATCAGCTCCTCCATACTAAAACCTACAAATTTCGACAAAATAATAAATTAATGTTTTTTTTTTTGATCAGTTAATAAATTATGCAAGTTGCGAGTTGAATTTCGATATATTAAGATTTAAAATATTGTTCCAGATCATGGTTTAAGAAGGAAGTCAATACTCGAAATCGGAAGCACCGTAAATTACACAAAAACAAAAAACAAGTGGGATATTTGTAATATTCAAAATGCACCACCTCGAAGTAGTTATCAATCGCAATCACATCAAAATAAAATATCAGCAAAATTAAATTTTTACGTACCTGCTGAGTCAGCAGCTCTCGCGGCAAGCTGCTCCAAGAGGAATTTAGCAGGATCGCCGTAAGGGTATCTCGATGTATAAGAATGCACGAGATTTACGACTTCGTCATTGGTGAAGAAATCGAATAATCCATCGCTCCCAAGTACAACAAAATGATCCGAATTCGAAATTTCATGCGCAGTCAACGAAGGTTGGACCGATACATACGGCGGACTTAATAGATTACGAACTCGGAGAATTCCCATTAAAGCATCGTTCATATATTTCTGCATTAAAAAAATATATATATAATACTATCACTTACATGATAAAAAAAAAATTATGTAACATCATCAATTCTTTTTTTTCTTGGTTCGATGCAGTTAGATATAATTTAGTGGTGGAAATTTCCGATTTTCAATTTTTCCGAAACTAAGGAATATATTTATCTCACTGACTCTACTTCAATATA